ACAATAGGAAGGACAAATACCGACTTGATGGTATGCTTGTCAATAACAAGCGACTCCTCTTTTAGGACCCACTTTAGTGACTGCAATACTTGAGTTGACATCAGATCTAACTCAACTAACAACTCTGTGACATTATAGCAACTGACTTCTTTATAGTATGGGGTACATTCCCAATATATACTTTGATTTCATCGAAAACAATTCTGAACTTGATCGTTGATCCTTGACAGCTGTCACTCTTACTTGTTGGTAGGTTTAGTTCTAAGTGAATAAGAAGATCAATTTGAAGAATTTATTTTCTGAAATTAGTCAATACTGAAGTATTAGTTAAATTCAGTTTGATACGCCATTTCAGTCATTGAAGATTTTTAAGGAACGAAGTACTTTGAGACTTGTCTGTTCAACTGAGCATATCTGAAGGTTAGTCATTTCTTTATATTTTGATTTCATTATGTTTCATTTTATTTTGAATTTTTAATTTTTATTTTGGGTTTTAAATTTCATAGAATTTTGACATGATGGAATTTTAAGTTTTACTTGTCATGAACAAGCAAACTTAAAAGAAGGTGATTTAATTCAAAGTTGGACCCGCTCCTAATACTAGAGAAATGTTTGTTTGATTTTCTTTATTCTTTGATTTATTCAATGAAAGATTTATCTCTTTAGTTTGGGTTCCATTATTTAGAATTTGAAGATCGTAGAACTCTTTCATGTAAGGGTGAAATGAACAGTTTTATAATCGAAGGAAATATTGGCCATAATTGCTCAAGAATAAAATGAGCAATATATAGCAATAAAAGAAAGATAACCTGGTATGTTCGGGAAACTGACATATTACCGATATACGAAGACAAAATCATCAGCCAAAGATAGAGAGAAGTTGTCCCAACAGAGTTGCCATAATAATCTATCACTTTTATTTTTCCATAGAGTCTTCATAGAACCATACAAATTTTAAGATTTATTCATTTAAATAATCAAACAGTATCAAAAGTAATATGTTATCTTGAGAGATAGAAATATCATTTTATGATGGATTTGAATACGTAAATTAAGAAATATTGAATATTTGCAATGTCAATGATTAAAATCAAAAATATTTTAATTATCTAATTCAAAGACTATATAGGATTTAGATTAAATCTGAGTTACAAACTTTCTATAAGGGAAAACCAATATCGTTATTTACATCTTAAGCAATCAGAATTACTTAATAAAACTCTCAATTAAGACTGTGATTTTATCTTCATGAAATTTTTAACTTTAGGCGTCCAAATTTGATTATTAGAAATATCAACGGGGAAAGCTCAAAAGTGGAGTTATTAATAGAACCCAAAGTAAGAAAAGTAGGAAATATCAAAGATACCAAGGAACTCAGTGACATCTCAACTATCCTATTGTTAGGCTTTAATAGTTTCAAGAGAGAATCATTTGATATTTCATCTCATCATTGTATTAGAAAGTTAGAGTTTATATCACACGATAGAGTATCGTCAGAAGACCTAGGAGGTGAGGATTCATGTCTTAGCTAGATGAACAATCTCAAAATTCTATGAGTAAGTGAGGTTCAATAGAAGAAGTGAAACCTCAAAAACTTAAACAAAGCACATGTTATGGAATTATAAACCTGCCTAAAAAGGTTTATCATCTAAACCACCTAATCACAGTGAAAAACATGAAGGACCGGTCTCATTGAATGTAAGAAAGGTTATGTTTTTATTTATTAAGAATAAGTAAGTTTTAAAACTTAATTATAAATCAAACTGGCTAGACATTGCTGGTATGCACAATATCCTAAGACTAATGCGATTATATTTTTGTAATTTAAAATTAATCATTTTTTTAAGGCCCACCACACTCAAATAATTATCACTTTGTATAAAATTTTAGTGTCTAGTGATCATAGCAAGCTGTGTAATAGGTTATGTAAGTCCTTGATGATGAATTCATTGAAGATTAATTCATAAAGTTGATCAATATGTGAAGGGCAAAGTCACTCCATAAGGCAATGGTCCTCATAGGACAAACCACTGGTTTTTATGCAATGAGTAAGGGCATAAAAAAGGAATAGATGCGATATGAAATTCTTATGTCTAAGATGATGTTTTCGTGACTATTCCTAAATCGCAAAGTGGTTTCTACTCAATTTTATTTAATGTTAATTTGATTGTTTTATACGCATAATGTTTCTAAGGTTATGAATACAATACCTTATGCAATTTGTTTTGTTTATGAGCTTCATTTAACTTAATACAAGTTAAAATTACCACTAAAGTTTTGTTTATAGGTTAAAATTATTTACTTATGTTTGGGTAGCAAATATAGTCCTTTAGTTTTGTATTTGTTAAAGATCTTTTGATCTAAAAAATTTCATAAAAATTTAGATGCCAATAAGCAAAGGACAATAGTGACTTCTTGCTTAGAGGAAGAAAGGGCATAGGATTTCCTAGCAACTTATTAAGGAGATAAATTTTTCAACTTTTCTAAGACAAAAGGAGAGAGAATTAAAACTTTAGTGTGGATGTAGGTGTTGGTGTTGAACCACCATAAATTAGTTTGCATCCCTTTAATCCATAATTTTTCACAATACGCTTTTTAGGCATTCTTACTAGATTGTGATATGATAATGGTTGTGATCTTAATATTGCTTATGTCACATGATAGTTGAATTACATTTATAATTACTCTTGGTTATTCAAGCATATTGTGTAATGACTAGTTGTGAAAGATAAAAGGAAATCATCCATTGTTATGAACTCATTTTAAATCACTTTTTCAATATACTTTCTTTATTATTCTCAATAAAAAAATTTAGTAACATATTATGGCACTTACATAATTCTTATATATATATATATGCTAAGATCACACCTCAATTCAACCTCTCCAAGGTATGTCATGCATTATTGATATTAGATTGAACTTCTTTATTTTGATATTACATCACCCAAAGTAGATTCACATGACATATTTTAATAATAAAAACACCAAAGAGGCTACTTTTACACAACATCAAATTTGATTTTTGATTATTTTGCATGATAAATTTCATAAAATCCATCAATTTTCACACATGAAACTTCAAATAGGTTATACAATTTATCTATAAGAAGAGATTATTACGTCCGTCACACAGACGTCGAGCTGGGTTAGCCCGAACGACTAACATAATATTTTTTTTCCCTACCTAAGGCATACTTTCCTTAACCAACAAGCATTCGATGCTTGTTTTGACCAAACTTGTTCAAAAAAGTCGACCTCATATTGCTTTTATTATTGCAAGTTGCAACCATATGGAGCACACATTAGACAGATGTTGTCCTCCACAAATATATGAATATCAAAGGAGAAGTGGGCCCCGTAACATTATTGAGGCCCACCAACGGCTGAAACGAGCACGGTACGGTGACCCTACGGCTCAATATGAACGCAGCATTTAAGATAGAAAATATTGTTTAACTTATCCATTTTGAAGGCCCAGAAAACCTTCGCACCTAACACGTTGAATAATGTTCATAACTTAGACGATATGCTAAAATATCAAAATCGATAAATTAAAAAAATCAATAATAATATTGGAAAAATAGGCGAAATAAAAATAAAAAAAAACATTTAAAAGGAAATTTTACATATATACCACTGAAGTTCTATGTATTTACATATCTGACACCTAGACTTGAATTTTTACATTTATACAGCTTACCTAGGCATGACAAGGTGTATTTTTTATGTGGGTATGAAGATTCAGATGGTATGAAAAAACAAAGTTAACATTTTAAATATGTAAATACAATGGAATTGTGTGGTATGTATGTAAATGCCCCCAATTTAAAATATTTAGTATGTTTCTCGCCAAAACTTAGGGCAAGAAGCCATAAATTTAGACAGAGAAATAAAGGATTTTTATGAACAATTTGAGTGTCTATGTATCACTTTTCAGCATGTGATACCATAAACCGGTACAAACGAATATTACGTGCGGTATCTACACGTGCAGATTGGTAGTATTGGAGTTATACCACACCAATACTATCAATCCACACCAAGCTCATTCGCACGTAATATTTTTACCCAGTAGAGACGAGCACGAGATGTGAGACTCTCAAGCACAATGGGTAAAGCAGAGGAAATGAAGTATGAGCATTAGTTGAGAGAATTTATTGTTACATTTCTTCCTTGTAGCAACCAAAGCCTTTTTGCCTCTTAAAATTTGTCAAAAGAGTGGAGGAAGCTTCTTTGCTTGAGAGTTGTCCAACTAAAGTTTTTGCACTTGGCTGCCTATCAAGGTAGGCCTTTCTAAACAAGTTAAACAAGATGCGTTTACATACATACCACACATTTCCTATGTATTTACATACCCAACACCTAAACATTAATTTTTTACATTTATATCATCCAAATCTTTCATGTCACATCAAAAATATCACCATTTTAACTTTTCTAAAATGAAATACACATTTTCTTACTTAGGTAATGTAGTATGTATGATGTTAGACATGTGAATTCATAAGAATTGAGTGGTATGCATGTAAATCCAAAATCAAATCGAGCAGACACGCATGCACATGAGCATGCAAACAAGTGCGTACAAACGATCAAGCGAATGCACACAAGGATGAGCATGTGATTGCTCACACGGTTCGCCGGGTTAGCACACACATCGGTGAAGAGGCGAGCTTTCACGAACAAATAGGCAAAATTACAAGCATGAGTGGGTTGAAAGTGACTCGACTCGTGTGACTCCATCTTGACTAAGACTAATAATGTTTAGCCTAACCAAAAAATAATGTGAGTTATTGTGATTGTTTGTGGTAAAAATAATCTAATAATTAATCTACTCAATTATTCCATATTAGCTTGATTAACTTCTATTCATATCCTTGAGAGCATTTGGAATGAAAAAAGACAAATTTAAGTAACTAAATCTCATTCAAAGTCTCAACTGCAAACCATTTAATAAAAGAGAAATGATATAAATGCAAGAACTACTTTTTTGGCGCGCTTCAAGTTTTTAATTAAACGAATTATAAGAAAAGAGCTTTCATTTCAAAATTGGAGCAGAAGGAGTAATATTGTGTCAAAAAAACTGAAGCATTCAGGATGATGGAGAATAGTGGGGGTTCTTCTTGTGATGTGTCTCGATCATATGGAAAGGAAGGCTCCTGCGAAGAGAAGAAATAATATTCATGAAGGAAACATAAAAATAACATATTTAAATCCTAAGAGAATATAATAAAAGAGATACGCATGTGCTTATATGTAAGCCCATCCAAATTATCAGCAGAAGCCACATAGCTTACCCAAAAGATAAGCCACCAAATTACTCTCTCACAAAGAGAGTCGTACTTTCATATTGTTTTAGCTAAAATCTGTCCTTTAGCTTGTGCCCAAGGGATGGAGCGGGGATTCGAGGGAAGAAGAAAGTGAATGAGAGATAGAGAGAGAAGGGTGTTCTCGGGCTCTTTGACCCCTTTTATTCCACATAAATGAGATTAGTTGAAGGAGGGAGAACCTCCCCCTCCCTTAGAAAGTGAGAGAGGTTCTTCCTTATTTTTTTTCTCTTTGATTTATGCCTTTTCACTTATATTTTGTCTTGTTTCTCTTATTTTCTTCTTCTTTTTTTTCTTTTTCCTCTTCTTCTTTTTATTTATGTGGTTTGGGCTCTCCAACTAGGAAGGCTCGTCTTTTCGTTGGCGCCACGATCCACGTTCATCGTACCTTTTAAGGTTTTCAACCCAAATCTTTCCTTTAGCTCGTTCCC